GCTTACATGATGAAAGCTAAGCATGAATATATATATATATATATATATATATATATATAGAGAGAGAGAGAGAGAGAGAGAGAGAGAGAGAGACACACACACACACACACACACGTGAATAGATTCGTACACTGAAAGTGAGATTCCAGTTCCTGCTTCTCTCTCTCTCTATTTTCAGATCTGGTGGAGTTAGGTTAGAAGAACATTTTCTTTCAGCATCTGTGGATATATTCTGTAATACTTGTGGTAGTTGAGCTACTCTGCTTTTATGAGAGTTTTGCTTATGAAAGTTAATTATCATATTATAATTGGTAAAAGGGGTTACTAAATGTTTTACACAGGCGTACACCTACTATGATATATGTGCGTGAGTCACATGTTGAAAAGATGGGAATGGTTCAAGATGTTCCATATGAGATCCTGAATGTGCTTGAATTCAATAGGTGACTTTTAAACTTGTCTTTGGAGTTTACTTGCACATTTAATAAGACTTGAGGGTGACATTACCTTTTGTTTTGCATTTAGTACAAGGAAGCGCCAGTCTGTTATATGTCGGTACCCTGATGGCAGGCTTGTACTGTACTGTAAGGTAATAGCTTCGTGAGGATAGTAGCATGAGAAACTTATGGGGTTGAAATAAATGATATATTAAACCTTTTTTTTATCACAGGGTGCCGATACTGTAATTTATGAAAGGTTGGTCGGTGGAGACCATGATATGAAGAGAAGAACCAGGGAGCACTTGGAGCAGTTTGGAGCATCTGGATTGCGCACACTATGCTTGGCTTATAGAGACTTAAACCCTGGTGTATATGAAAATTGGAATGAGAAATTCATTCAAGCAAAATCGTCTCTGCGAGATCGTGAGAAGAAATTGGATGAGGTGCACAACCAGTGTGAATGTTCCCTTATTTTTATTTTTTCAAGATTAACATGGTTTTTATTTTAATCTATATCACAATATGATTATTGCAGCTTAGGCTACTCATTCTTTTATCATTATGTACCTTACCATTATTTATTTATTTATTTATTTTCCATATTGGAATATTCTGCATTAGGTGGCCTCCACTCTAGAAGGATAGGGACTGAACGCTTCACCTTTAAGTTTAGGAGGTCTCTCTTTGACCACTTGAACCAATGGTCACTGGCATAAGAAGAGGTCACACTTGGTGGCTTTTAACTGATCAGAATTATTTCCTATTCTGTACATATATTGTTTTAGATAAGCCATAACTTGTACATGAAGCTTGTAACATATTCTAAACTAGCTACCCGTGTGTTGCATGTTGCATTTTGCTTCCAGGTATAGAAATTTTTACAAGTTACCTAATCTTGCTGATCTTATTCAGGTGGCAGAACTCGTTGAAAAGGATCTAGTTTTGATTGGATGCACTGCTATTGAAGATAAGCTCCAGGAAGGAGTGCCTACATGCATAGAGACACTTTCAAGGGCTGGAATCAAGATTTGGGTGCTTACTGGGGACAAAATGGAAACAGCAATAAATATAGCTTATGGTTTGTATTTGTGTGAGATATTTTAATTTTAATCTGTTTATATTCAGAAATCTATGCCAGCATCTTATGCTGTTTCTGTTTTGATGCTAAAGCATGCAGGTTGATCAATAATGACATGAAGCAATTTATTATCAGTTCAGAAACTGATGCAATCAGAGAAGTGGAAGATAAAGTGAGCAATTTTCTTTGATTTACCTGTCAGAATTATAGCAACATGTCTTAAGTTAACATTCTTTACTCTACTCATTTAAGGGTGACCAAGTGGAGATTGCTCGTTTTATGAAAGAGACAGTAAAAAATGATCTTAGAAAGTGTTACGAGGAAGCGCTACAGTGTCTTCATTCTGAAGCTAGACCGAAGTTAGCACTTGTTATAGATGGAAAGTGTTTGATGTATGCATTAGACCCTAGTTTGCGTGTAATGCTGTTGAACTTGAGCTTGAATTGTAGTGCAGTGGTTTGCTGCCGAGTTTCTCCTTTACAGAAAGCACAGGTGAGTTCTTTAGCTGGCTATTGCTACTTAGTTTTAGCGTGAATAGTTCTGAAGTCTCTCTTCCTTTTCTGTGGTTGGATATGTTATCAGATTGGCGAAATATACTACTAAGGTTCCATTTGTACATATAAAGACGAATATTTTCCTTCTTGCAGGTGACTAGCTTGGTTAGGAAGGGAGCTAAGAGAATAACTCTTAGCATCGGTGATGGTGCTAATGATGTTAGCATGATTCAAGCTGCTCATGTTGGTGTTGGAATAAGTGGGCAGGAAGGGATGCAAGCAGTGATGGCTAGTGATTTTGCAATTGCTCAGTTTCGCTTTCTCACAGATTTGCTCCTTGTCCATGGACGGTGGTCATATATGAGAATCTGCAAGGTTTACCATCATACCTGTCCTCAATTTACCCCATTGCTAATATTTCTGTTTGGAAATTCATATCCTTGAGGAAATTCTGGATGCAGGTCGTGACATATTTCTTCTACAAAAATTTGACATTTACTCTGACTCAGTTTTGGTTTACCTTTCGTACTGGATTCTCTGGTCAAAGATTCTATGATGATTGGTTCCAGTCTCTTTACAATGTTATCTTTACAGCCCTTCCCGTGATTGTTCTTGGGCTTTTTGAAAAGGTACCTTTGAATCCATTTGACAGATGGCACCGCCACTACTGTCATTTCCGCTTCCCTAGTGCATGATTTAAGCTTTTTCTATCATTGCAGGATGTCAGTGCAACGCTCTCCAAGAAATATCCCGAGTTATACAAGGAAGGCATAAGAAACACATACTTTAAATGGCGGGTTATAGCTGTCTGGGCTTTCTTTGCAATTTATCAGTCACTAGTGTTGTATTATTTTGTAACTGCTTCTACTACTAAAGGCATGAATTCAGCCGGCAAGATGCTTGGCCTTTGGGATGTCAGTACGATGGCCTTCACCTGTGTTGTAGTTACTGTCAATTTGCGACTTCTTATGATGTGCAACACAATTACCAAGTGGCATCAAATTAGTGTCGGTGGAAGCATTTTGTTGTGGTTCATATTCATCTTTATTTACTCTGGCGTTGTATTGCCAAAAGATCAGGTGCGTTTTCTTACAGTCATGATTAACCTTTTTTATATTTGAAGTTACCGGTGTTAACTTATTCCCTGTTCTTGTGATCAAACAGAAGAACATCTATTTTGTCATCTATGTCTTGATGAGCACGCTTTATTTCTATATCGCACTGCTTCTTGTGCCTGTCGCTGCACTCTTTGGTGACTTCTTATACCAGGGGTAAGATTTCGGGACTAGAAAACGTGCCTTGCCCCACGACGTTCTACTTTCAAATTTCAAGTCGGTTTTCATTGATTAGTTCTTTCACGAGTGTCATTCATTACATTTTCAGGGCTCAGAGATGGTTCTTCCCATATGACTATCAGATCGTTCAGGAAGTTCACATGCACGAGGTCGACAGCACGAGGGTAGGACTATTAGAGATCACGAACGAGCTCACACCCGAAGAGGAAAGGAGTTTCGCCATGATGAACCTCCCAGGACAGAAATCAAAGCACACTGGTTTCGCCTTCGACTCACCAGGCTACGAGTCATTTTTCGCATCCCAGGCGGGTGTCTTCGCCCCCCATAAAGCATGGGATGTTGCTCGGAGAGCAAGCATGAGAACGCGTGCCAAGACACCTCGGAAAAATTGACTTCAGATGTAAAAACCCATTCTATATTCCCCCTTTCTTGTAACATACACATATAAAAAGCGTTACGGGTATACGTATATACATATGTATATACGTATATCCTATATATCAGCCTTTTAATATGTTACAAAGTATAATGTAGGCTTGATTCTTTTAAATGTCTTCCTGGCTTCCCCTTTTTGTTTTTCTGTTAGCTACATTGGGGTTAGCAATGGAGATTGTACATCATTTAGGGAAGGTGACACGGTATGCCATCACGGCATGTACTTGTCTAGACTAGAAGTAGTTTTCTTAATTTTACGTAGTCGGAACCTTATGGACAAACAGATTTTGTATGATTTTAGTGGGTGATATATATACGAGTTTTCCCAAAGATCGGACACAACATTATGGACAGATTCTGTATTCTTTCGGTGAGTGATAGACAAAAGACAATTTTGGTTATTTAATAGCATGGCCATCTGATTCATCTCTAGTGAACTTTTGTTATATTATGATGCAATAGTGGGGTAAATTATAGTATTATACCATGGACTATGGTTTACCTTGCATTGTGAACCCTGGTCAAAAAATAACCTTCAGATTTTATATTTATAGTTGACAGTTCTGTACACGTAGTTATCATATTATGTATCAGCAATTATCAAGTCAGTCAGATTCTGTATCTATAGTTGACACATTCTGTATCTGCAATTAATAGTTTCTGTACTTGTAGTTATCATATTATGTGTCAGCAATTATCAAGTTATTTGTTTACATTTACAAAAACTGTTTAAATGTAGGTGTTATTACATTTACAGACACAGACAAACTGAAGGTATAAAATTTTTGTATCAAAGTTCACAATGCAATATGAACTCTGGTCCATGGTACAACAATTGCAATAGTGGTGTGAGTTTTATGAAAAGTTTGAAACTAATTTGAATTCAACTAATGTTGTTGCGATCACTATTCGAGAATGTGTATTGGATAAATTATCAACACACTATGGTAATCTCACTTGGTCATCTCGTTTTAGGCAACAAGTGGTGTGCTTTGAATGTATTAAACATTTAAGTTCATAAATATGTACCTTAACCTTCTAGGTAGTTACATTGAGATTTGATTAATTTAAAGTCAAAGTCAATTTAATTGTATTATTTATTTAATTTTAATTTAAAAATTGAAAGTTCTAAAAGATCTCAATTGTAAACTTAATTAAAAATTTAAAAGTACCAGTAGCAATTATAGTTTTCGAAACTTATCTTCAACCTCTTAATTATAGAATTTATAAAGGAAAACAAAAAAAAAAAAAAAACAAAAACAAAAACAAAAACCCCACTTATCTCTTGTATAGCAATAAAAATAATTTTTTATTTTTATTTTTTTTTACAAAAGAGAATAAAAGCAATTTATATTTAAGAATAAAAGCACTCCAAAAAAGCTGCAGCACTGAGACAAGCCCTTTAATGCTCTTATTCAGAACTAGCAAGAATTGCAGTGTGCTGTTTATTCATGTTCTTTCAAATCCACCTCCAGTCTGCATATGTAACCAATCAGGTGATGTGCTGCTACCATATTCCCTTGTAGCTTGCGAACCGAACGCCAAGCCAGATGTATCGAAGATTTGCGGGGGAAACTGAGGAGATAACGACTCATTACAAGTTATTCAACCGACAAAATGTTAGAAGTAAATCGATTAACAGCACACAATGGGTTGAAAACGGGTAGATATTTAACCACAAATGGTGTATGGTATGCAGTGCTTACATCTTTTGATGGTAATCCTTCAATCCCGGGGGGTATTCTTGAATTCACTGCCTCGAGCTTCATTGATAGAAACTGGAAATGAAACAAACCGTGAACTCCTTAGCAAAACCAGGTCACGTAAGAATTGCAGTTAGTGTGCACTATACTAGAGAGAGAAGAGAGAGAGAGAGAGGAGCAAACCTCGACTTGGTGTTGTAATGATTGGACATAATTAATTATCTCATCAAGGACCGACGCTTTGCCAATAACCTGACACCAGACAAAACACCCTTAAAACCGTTGGTTTCAAGTAAATTAATGGTTTAAAACTACAAAGATTCTCAACTTGTACTTTGTTCTGAAACGGTGATTAGTTTGGATTTTTACGGTTAGAAGGACACCCTAGGATATATGATGCGAGTATGCATCTGGTCTTTCATAATTCAGGTTTCTCTATTCCATTATTTGATGGATGAAAAAGTAGAAACTATGGTGACAAGACATAACAGGCATCTCAAGTCCAATACAAAAACTTTTGCTAGACATATTCAGGATACTTCGACTTCTGAGTTCTGACACATAGTAGGTCCACCCAATACTAGTTCTACTATCATTGAAGGTAGTTCTCAGGAGAAGTGACAATTTCCGGACATTCTGTGAATAGTTCCACTGACAAAATCAGGACAAACGAAAAGAATAGACGAAGAAGTAAAACCGGCTAGGCTGAACACTTGATCTGATGAATAGACTAATTATTACGGAGTAATTTTTAACTAAGGAAATAAAGTGAAATGCAAATACTGCACCTTGTTGCAGCCAGGGACTAAATTTTGTAGAATTTTCATCCTCTCGCTTATTTTCTCTCTCCTAGCCTGCGCATCAAAAGATTCAAAAGGGTCCAATTAGCAAAGATTGAAGAAATTCTAATCACCATCACCAAATATAAACAGATTCTATGAAGGTGGATGCAATCAGAAATTAATCAAGATTACTCTTTCTGCTAGGCTGTGACTATCAGTTGCTTGTCCCCTCCTAGCTCTAACATGAATGTAATCTTTAGGCGGTTCCGCTGCCTTTGCAGCTTGTTCTGCTTGCTTTCCAGAAGCTCCTTCCCCATCAGCTTTGGACCGAGGAATCTTGTTCTGTCCACCGGTCTTTAACCGTTTACTGTCATCTTCACTCTGCTAAAAGTCACAAAATCCCAATAATAAATATATTCAGTTCTTCAATATGCTGCAATAAATCGGTAATAAAGGCTAATCAATCTAAGTGCTAAAACTAGCTTAATTTTGTCTAGCTCGGACATGCAACTCAATTGGTTCCTGGTGGTAGATTATGGAGCAAACACAAGATCGAGCCCGGTAGAGAGTTACACCTAACGTAGTGGATTCCTTGTGGGTACCAATAAGTACTCCCACATAATGGGCTGTTGAGTCACCGCTATTTACTCCTCTACTATCCTGTCAGGGCGAGATAATTTCGAAGGATACCAGACAAGTACTCCCACATAATGGGTCACTGAGTCACCGCTATTTACTCCTCTACTATCCTGTAAGGGTGAGATAATTTCGAAGGATACCAGACAAGTACTCCCACGTAATGGGTCACTGAGTCACCGCTATTTACTCCTCCTACTATCCAGTCAGGGCAAGATAATTTCGAAGGATACCAGACAAGTACTCTCACATAATGAACAGCTGAGTCACTGCTATTTACTACTCTACTATCTTATCATATCAGGCGAGATAATTTTGCCTTTTATGGAGAAGCTTAATTTTGTCTAGGTTTCAAGTATTACAGATGAAAGGCTATCTTTGGACTAAATTACTGAGCACAATTCTGATTAACTAACTGTTCAACAACATTCTCAACCAAAACAGAGTGAGAAAAACGGCATTAATTGTGCGCAAAGCTTATGCAGATAAATCGAATTGGAAAGAGTACCAAGCCGTTGCCGCTAGTCGAGGCTCCCGCTCCTCCCTTAGCAGATTCATCCTCCTCCTTGCGCTTCCGTCCTCCGCCGTCGCCGCCGCTCTGACTCACTCTCCGGTCGATAACCATGGGATCACTCATCGCATTCACATCCTCCTCCGCCGGCGCCAACGCATACGGCGACGTCGCTCCTCCGGTACTGATCGGAAACGGCCAGATCTCCGCCATATTAAACTGCGCGTTGCTGGAACCAGGGTAAGCTCCTCCGTCATTCAACATCGGATCCGTCTCGCTCCGGAACTTATAAACCACGCCGCAACGGCTATGAATCAACTGGAATTCGTTCAAACAGGAAGCGAAGATATAGGGAGGGAAAAAACATATGCAATTATGCAGTGCTCAGTGTGATCTACTTGAAGAATGGAGATTACTGCGCCGCCCACTGTCGTACACTGGAGAGTGGAGACCACCACCGCTAACACCATTCACTGTAGAGAGAGAGAGAAGTTGAAAAGAAGAGACTTTGAATAAGGTTCTTCAGCTGGGTCCACTTCCAGCGCTTCCTTTCTTATCATTTATCCCTATCATTCATTATTTCTTATCCCGGCCGGTACGTGTTTACTCATTGTTTAATAGACAGTATTTAAAAAAAGATATTAAGATTTAAAATTCGACATTGTATTTAATTTTTGCTTAATCATTAAATACTGTAATTTAAACTCTCTCACATATTCTATCAAATTTAGCCCACTTAGAAGTGTAAACGAGTCAAGTCGAGTCGAATTCGAGCTCAAACCAACTCAAAAATTAAAACTCGAGCTCGAAGCTGACCAAGCTTGAGCTGAGCTGCTCGACTATATATATATATATAGCTCGCGAGCAACAAGCTTAAAACATTTGAGCTCGAACTCGAGCTGAGCTTTGACCAAGCGACTTGCGAGCTGCTCGGCTCATTTGCACCCCTAGTCGCACTAGGGCGTGGGAGCCAATTGCTTTGAGAAGAAGATATTTGTTATTCTATTTACCTCATTCACCACTAAGGCACTAATCTCTATGACAGAACAGTGACAACTCTAAAATTTTATTTTGAACTTATTATTTGTTATTACCGAACAAAAATGATCATAATTCAGTTCAAATATTATTTGTTAAAGGTGATCAGAGTATAGTCTAAACCATTATTATTGTTTAGAGTATCGTGTCTTATACAAGTATGTGATATTAAAAAGTTTTGAACTATATTTTTGTAATGTTTTATAATAATAATTAAATTTTTAAATTATAAAATAAAATTGATACACTGAAGGTTTATTTTAATATATTAAAAGATAATTGTAATGTATTTATTGATTCATATTTAGTGTATTATTTAAAATGAATTTTAGTACATTATAAATTACTCCGTAATTTTTAGTACATTAAAAAATAAATATTTATTAATAACCCACCCTATAATGTAGTGGTCCACTGCATAATTTGGCCCTAGATGGTACCTCAATCTCTGGACAAATGATTCGAATGATCTGAGCCAAATAGTACTCTATAATAATTTAGATCTTGAATCCAACATATTTAAAATTATATATATATATATATATATATATATATATATATATATATATATATATATATATATATTCACATGAAACTAGTTCCGTGAGAACGTATAAACTAATCTCATACATCCATCTAAGATGATCAAGGGTTATAAATTAATGAAAAAAATTAAAAGAAAATGTGGTGCTATTGTTGTAATTATGACGGTACATTTATGGTTGCTTACTTGCTTTATTGTGAATCCGCAAATAACTAATAATGTACATACGTGGGTGCGCTATTATATATATTGAGTGTACTGTTAGAGTGTTAGTTATTCGCCGATCCATTATCAAGTGTTTTTAAATAGATCGTCATAATTATAAAAATTTCACCGCATTTTTCATTAAATTTCAATTATTAATCATTCTAGATTGACATATGAGATTTGTTGGGACGTTCTCACAAGACTATTAATTTACACTTGATCCCACCTCTAATATAATTTAACATGATTTATTAGTGAAAATAAGATATTTATATTAAGGTTTTACCAAAATGTGATTGCCTAATGATTGTTAGAATGAGTTTAATAGTGGAAAGTGATAGTTTAAGTTGTGACTTGTGAGAAGTAATGAGTAGCTTTCAGTGGATATGCCAAATCAGGGTGACAATGAGAGGACGATTGGGTGGTCCACCAATTTTAAGGCCTTGTTTGGGAAAGTTTACCTAACAACTAGGTACATATCCACATCAATATTTTTCACTTTTCTTTATAAAACATAGTTGGCTAAGGCTCTCCCAAGAATCTACACCTATAATAAAAGTTAATATATTATAATTTTAAAAAAAAAATTCTTAGCAGATATTTTGGATTCCAATAGGATTGACACCATGTAGTGTATACGTAAAGTTATTATCCATTATTGAGTATATATGATCCAATAAAGTTTGGTATATATATTCAGTCATGTTTAAGTAGGTTATTAATCACTTATAGTATATGAATTGTTTAGTTTTTTATAAGATGAATCGCTTCTAATCATTCAACAATCTTAATGTCATTTGAATCCAATCTCCTAGTTAGTTGTTAGCTCTAATATTAATTTTTTATCTTGTGGTCTATTGACACGAATTGAAGTGATTCTCCTAAATGGGAGGTTATGAGTTTGATCCTTAGTGGGGGCAGTATTAACTCTTTGTACTTCAGTAGATTGAGAAAGTAGTTGACTCTTTGTACTTCAATAGGTTGAGAAAGTAGTTGACTCTTTATACTTCAGTAGGTTGAGGAAGTAGTTATGAACATATACTACATTGTAACAGTTTCAGTACTATAAAAAAAAAAAAACCTATTTGGTTCAACTTCCTCTTAACTTATACCTCAAGGCAATAGATATTTGTTAGTTGTCATATCCATGTATTTAGTTATCATTATTAGGTTCTTTAGCTATGTATAAATATCTATTTCCCTCTTTGTAATTTTTTTTTAAAGATGATGAATTTTCATTGTACTCAATATGCATATAGAATTTGAGTCATTTCGTTCTTTATAGGATGAATCACCTCTAATCATTCAACATTCTTGATGTCATTTGAGTTCAAGTTCCTAGTTATCATGATCACTAAGGGGATGTTTGGTTCATGGAAAATGTTTTCCAAACTTAAAGTAGAAGAAAATGTTGTTTTCTTGTGTTTCGTTCATGGAATTCATTTTCCAATGGAAAATGAATTTCTTAAATTTGAGGAAAACAAAATCCTTGGTTGGACCAAGGATTTTGTTTTCCATGAAAGATGGGAAGAAAAATTGAGATGAAATACCTATTTTACCCTTGCTTTCTTTTTTAATTATATTACTCTTATTAATTCGTAGGGGCATATAGGTCTTTATACTCATTATTCCTTACAATTCCAAATCTAACCAAACAATAGAATTAGTATTCCCAGTAATTCTTTTTCCACCAACCAAACAATGAAATTCATCTTCCTAGTAATTGTTTTTCCATAGAATTCCAATTCCACTTCCCTTAAAATATTTTCCAAACCAAACGAGCCCTAAAAGATAAAATAGGCAATTATCAATTATCATTGGTCCTAGGCAAATTGTTTCAACGTTTCCTTCACTTCTACTCCTAATACCAAATGCTAGATTTAAATAATCTATCAATACTGAATAATAATTTACGAGAAACCAAACCCCGTAGTAACGGATGCGGAAGTACTGTTGATCTCCAGCCATAGTTGACAATGCGAAAGTTGTGTTGATCCCCAGCCATAGTTGACAATGTGGAAGTTGTGTTGATCCCCAGCCATAGTTGACAATGACAATGCAGAAGTAGTGTTGATCCCAGTTGACAATGCGGAAGTAAGCCATAGTTGACAATGCAAAAGTAGTGTTGATCTCCAGCTATAGTTGATATCTTGTTGTGTTGCCTCTTGAACGGTAAATCGTTAGCCCTATTTTGTCCCATAGCTCAGAACCAGAGCAGTTGAGTATAGTAATTGAATGTGCAATATAATGAATATATGTACCCCATCAATCTAGGTTTATATTAGACACAGAGTTTTGTTGAATAACAACTTCTAGTTATTCAGTTCAACCAAACTACTTAGTAAGTCTAATCAACTGGTACCACTTAGTTAAGACCCTAATGTATAATATATAATATATAATATAAAACAATAAATAGTTATTAGTTGGCATATCCATGTATTTAGGTTGTATTTAATTATTATAATTGTTATATTCTCTAACTTTGTATAAGTATATTATCTTTGTATTATTTTATGACACGTTTGATTCGCGGAATAAGCCTGGAATGGCATAGCATTCCTAGTAATATGCTTATTCTTTTGTTTGGTAAAAGTTTCTATTCCTAGGAAGTAAAAATAATGTTCCTGAGAATGACTTATTCCCCTAGAGGGAGGGGGAATAGCTATTATTTGGGTCCTCCATACATACATATAAGCAATAATTCGTTGGAGATGAAAAATAAATAAAATACTTATTTTTTAAAGATAAAAATGTCCATCTAAAATAAAAGGGAGAAAACTGTCACTTTTAACATAACTTATGGGATAAACATGAATACATGAATAACCCGGCCAAGATAAAAAAATCTAAACACATAATAAGTGTCAATACAAGTTATGTCCTTGATTTTTGTCCTTTTTTTATATGCTAATAAATATATACATTTTGCTTTAATTGTTGTACATTCATTTGCATTGGACAAAATCACCCTTACACCGTTATAACACCGTTAGTTTTTAATATATCTACTAATCTTACCATACACCTACATCTATCATATCTTTTTCCTATTTTTAATTATCATTTTATTAAAATTATCATATAACAATTAATTTAATTATAAATTATATTTTAATTAAATATTTATATGAATGCTAAATTATATATGTGTATCATATATATATATATATATATATATATATATATATATATGTGTGTGTGTGTGTGTGTGTGTGTGTGTGTGTGTGTGTGTGTGTGTGTGTGTGTGTGTGTCATATATATATATATATATATATATATATATATATGTATATATATATATATGTATGTATGTATGTATGTATGTATATTATTTGTGTATCCATATCAATATATTATATATGTGAGTGTTAGCTTAGTATTATTTGTAAATTATTATTATATAAAAATATAATTTATTTTTTTTTGTTTTGATCACTATATTATTCAAATATAGATAATTCAAAAGTATCATCACTTTAAGAAATTACAACATAATTTTAACTAATTTTTTAAATTTGTTACTTACAAATATTTTAATATTGGGCATAAGTTTTCGCGCATTGCGCGTACAAAATGCTAGTAATAATAATAAAATGCTATAAGCATATAATAACTCAAAGAGGGAAAATGGTCCATAAAAGTTGGTTAAGGGTCAATTTATTTCTGGTAACAAATGTTACATAAATATACATTACCATAGTTGAACTCCAACACACAATTTCTAATCTCTTAATTGGGGAAAA